TTTTTTTTTTTTTTTTTTTTACAGTACAGATACGCTCCAGATTACTCCTCAGCTTTAGCTGCAGAGCAGACTCTTGGCATCAAAACATGTCAAAGCTTATCAAGGCAGGAGTTTTCTTTTATTTTAATTTTTTAACATTGCCTTTCGCAAGSCGAATGATCAAAGCTCCTCTAGGAGTGCTGTGTAACACTATTGGACACATGGGTGTTTACCTGAAAAGTGTTCCCAGTGTTTTTATGTGTAAGCCAGACAAAAACAAAAAATCAAAATAAAAAGGCAGACGATTACTTCAACTCAAAATATTCTCTTCTGAGCTTCCTGCCCCCATCTAACACCACAAACCATCAATACAGACACGTCGGTAGGTTTCCTCGAAACAATGCTTATCACCCACCAACTTTTYTGTTTTAAAAGATTATTTTATTATAAGAAATGCAAATATTATAGCTTTATGGTCAAGCTTTGAGTGCTAAATATGATGTGGAAGAAAAATATTCTAAATGATTACAAATATCAGCACTCACTTATGTTTAAATATAAGTCATCAGAATAAACAGCCAATCAGAATATTCTGATCTGATTCGTTTGGATCTGAATCAGTTTGTAATCTAAATGAGAGAGGTGGTTTATGCCGAGTGATGATCTAAACAGCGTGCATGTAAACACTTATTCTGATCACACTGGTTGTTGAAAACTGATGTAGCTCCGCCTGCTAGATGCTAAAATGTCAGGGAAGCAAAATTCTGTTAGAGCTCAAAATAATCAAACTCCTTGTTAGTCGAAAGTGTAGGAACATTGTTTGTTTATTTTAATATTTGTTTATGTTCATCATGGAAGTAGAACAATCTGATTTTTTTAGGGGAAGTACTTTTGTTCTGAATAAAAGCCTGGTGCATGTAAACGCTCGTCATGATCAGATTAATTAATTAATTTTGTGCCCATGATTACTCAATCCAATCAAAGAATTTGGTGCATGTAAACATACAGTATGTCTGATTTGCTCCTTATTTAAGATTGTTACAGGAAGACAACTTTGGAGAGTCTAAAAGGGGCGAACGTGAGGCCCTGACCCCCAGAGAGACGCCGTCATTTGGCCTCAGCCCATGGCTCCCACTCGCCCCTCTTCTCACGCTGCACCTGTCGAACACCAAAAGACCCCCCTGCCAAGGCCCCTTTCACCACCTAGAATATACGTCTCCTCTCACGCATCCAAGTCGGGCTAATTACCCCTGGCCTCAAACTGTCCTCCAAATGCCACGGCGCGATGGGTATGTTTAGCTGCTGCTCCTTTCTTTAGCGCTCGTCCCCTCCTCCTGGCGGATTTCCGCTCCTCGACAAACAGGCTGACCGTGCAGGGGCATTTACCTCCAGAGTCACGGGGAGCTCCCTTTAACCTGGAGATTAAGCACCGCTGTCTACACGCAACCATGAATAATGAAGCTATCACTGCAGACAGGCAGGCAACAGCAGCGTGAGTTATATTCAGCAGGAATCCCACAGGCTGCTCCGCACACGTGCCAGATGTGGCCGTACAGTTGCAGCTCTACTGTAGAGCTTAAATCATAATGCAGAGGACTCATTTACCACTCTTTTTTAGTTGTTTTATATAAAGACATTTAACCTAGCTTTCCTGATCCATTATAATAGTTTACACCTTGATTTATAAAGGATGACGGTGCCAAAAGGTGTGATGAGTCATTAACAAACAACTGTGATGTATTCTATAAAGCAAACATTATGAAAACTCAACTAATGTGCTTATTTTAACACCTGAGCTGCATTTTTAGAACTATGCAAGTCAGTAAAGGCCACATCCACAACTTCAATCTGCTAACTGGCAGCAGAAATTAATTTGACAAGTTTTTTTTTTTACTTTGCATGTTTGACGCTGTGGATTATCATAAATAACCGCTGTTAAAAGTTTATTATATGTTCTGTATATCTTGTGAAAAGCCGGACAGCAGATGTTCAGGCAGCCTGTTCAACATCTGCCCATCAGCACATCTGTTTGAGAAATGCAGCTTGAGTTTTATTTGAAGATAAGAATCATTTTATTGAAGTTACAGTTCTTTTAAGGGATCTTCTAAGAAATGATGTGATTCGACTGTCAGTAAAGTTAAATTCATTGTTCGTCTTCAAAAACAGCAAGAATGTTGTAAAGAAAATAAGGATATAAAGAAACCAAAGAGATCATTATATTTATTTTTTATATATAGTGCAGTGCAAAAGGTTTAAACCATCACTTATTTCTTGGTCTTTGCTGCAAGCAGTCATATGTTCTGTTATTTTTTGGAACGATTTTATTCTCTGTCCAGTTCATCTAAAACATGACAACATGCAAAAGTAAGGGAAGTGGGCAGCTTGAGGGCAAAAAAGAAAACTGAAGACTAAAAAAAAACATCTACAGCAGATAAAGTTCACCTAAAAGTCATGTTTTTTAAGAAATAGTGGAAAAATAAAACAGCAAAGACGAGTTTTTTCTTTAGTTGTCTGTAATTCACCTAATGGTTCAAACTGTTCTTTTTGCGCGTTGTTGTTTTTCCATAGCTTTTATTGAATAAATGATAAATCTTCATGACAAGCTGTTTTAAAAGCTACTTTGGTCAGTTTTTTTATAATGTGTAGCTTCAACAATACATCTTTATGTGCACAGATGATTATTAATTAGATTAACAAAATGAATGCAAACTTAAACAGTCAATAAAGAAAAATATAATAAAAACATGACCGACTACAGGAACATCTATTTCCTCTAAAGCCATGAAGGAAAGACTTTTGCACAGTATATTTCCTCATAGATTGGTTTTTCTTATATGTTTCTAGGTTTCTTTATTTTAGATGTGTAGGAAAACACTCCGTGTCGTGTCTTGTAAGCACTGGCAGCACCTGACGTCAGGTTGGATAATGACAGGCACCACGTGACTGCTGCGCTCTGTCTGGACTCAGCAGGGTCTGTCAGAGCTTCCCCGGTGAGGATGACACACACACACACACACACACACACACACACACACACNACACACACACACACACACACACACACACACACACACACACACACACACACACACACACGAGCGCGCGCCGGGCGGATAAAAATAGCTGCCATCCGACTGATAAGGAGATGTTTAGACACGAGCAACTTGTTAAACTTCGCTCGTGTCGCTTTTTAAACTGTCATCTTTTCTGTAGTTGTTTTTGTTTTGATCATCCTCCCCGTTTATGGAACCAAAAATGCGCAAAAACGCACCGGATGGCATCGCGCGGTAGTCAGTCTTCACTCCTCCTGCACATGCAAGCCTAAAGATGATTTTTTTTTCTTTTCTGTTGCATTTGCGCATTTTAAGAGCAACAGCGACTAATGTCTTAAATCCACGCAGCAAGTCTTCTCGCCTCTGCCACGCGCTGCGTCACCGCGGCTCAGACGGGGGGCAAAACTATGGCACCATATCTGAACTTGCATGGATGAGAGTGACGGCATCAAAGCAGCAGGCGACTCACTCTGCCTCGCGTGCGTCTGTCTGTCGCGCCTGTGTGACATTCTCCTGCATCCCTCAGAGGGCATCACTTTGTGGAGCCGATGCGAGAGGCATCCTCCTAAAACCAAATGTAAATAAAAAAAGAAAAAGAAAAGAAGAAAAAGAAGAAGACACCGGTCCTGGACATCCTAGACAGCTCGTCCTGCGACATATTTCACTTTGGACCCGCTGATGTCACTTCCTGCCTGGGTGAGCCAGTGCAAACGAGCCCGGGGATGCGGAGGGGTGTTCGGAGACGCGAGGCGAGGGAGAGCTCGTGCCAAGTTCACAAGGTCACGTCGGAGCGCAATATTCCACGTGCAGGCGAGGAGCGCGCTTCCTCTGTAAAATGACAGSTATCATCTCATCTGGCTCATTCCGGAGAGGTTCTTTACTTTTCCATAAACAGTCACATCCACATCCTCCTACCCCCCCATGTGATGCGCTGGCGAGGTTCATTTCCTGGTGCGCTGTATACGCATTTACGGCCACATTATGCAACATCACTGCACTCTGCGCATACATCACAGCTGGTGGGCAATAATAATAAAGAACAAACTGAATTTAAGACAATTAAAAAAACTTTTTTTCATTTCTTAAAGCTTTGTTCAAGTCAAATAAAAACCAGGTCAAAAACATCTGATTTTATTTGATCTTCATTTTGGCCTCAGTTTCCATTTAAGATTTAAAGCCAAGTCTGCTTTAAGGCTATCTTCTGACATGTATTCAAGATTTGTTTTAAACAGGCTCATAACAGAGATATATTTTATTCTGGGTGCCAGGAGGGGAGTGATCAGTCACAAGTGCAAAAACTGACGCAAAATGCAAGGGCCCAAGAGAGATATCTCCTTTCCTCGTCTATTCCTCTTTACCTTTGAACCCAGGCCCAGCGGTCCATCTCTGATCTACAGAACGTCTCCTCTTACCCCCTCATCCTCTCCTATGTAGGCCCCGGAGATGGATGACCATCAGCGTGCCAGTGCTTCACAATTCTTCAATTTCCTGCCCAGGAAGAAGACTTTAGGAGGTTGATCAAAGTTCAGAGGAACAGTGTGGTGCCTTAGCGCCGCAAAGCAAGCCACCAGCCCGAGGATTCGAGCGCTTTGGTCTGGAACWTTCTAGAAACTCTGGTCCTCTGTATGTCAACAAAACAACCCCTGCTGCTTCTGCCCCGACTGAGACACCAGGAGCGCGGGGAGGACTTAGACACCCAGCAACCTCCCCGAGTGTTATATTTCAAAGAATTTCAAGGGTGGATATTCTGGCTGGAGATTTCTTTCAGTCACAAAAGACCATTATTTGGATTAGCTGTAGCATCTGTTCCTTAAATCTTATAAAGTGCACTAAAAACAGTTATTGCCACACTTCAGCTGTACAACAAAACCCTTTTAAATCATTAAAAACAAACTGTAACGTGTTAAAGTCACACAAACACTTTTTTTCTTACTATAATTTAAAAAAAAACGTGTTACGAATAAAAATAATGAAGATGTGTTTGACTTTGTTGTCTGAATTTGTTGTGTTTACACGCCACGGTGATTTGGAGGAACAGGATTATTCACATTGTATCAGTGTGACTAAAGAGGGCAGATATCCAGTATGTGAGCGCGCACAGAGGCCGTGCACAACAACTCTGTGTGGCATCTAGTATTTCTGATAGGACGACACTCTCATGTGGCTTTGTCATCTGTACACTATTGGCTGGATGGAGGCGAGGACGGCGGCAGGCAGGAGGAAGCAGGCAGTGCAGCCTAGTGGTGGAAGAGGGGTGTGTGTGTGTGGAGGAGAGGGGTGTGCGCCATGACTCACTGAAAATACACATCGTCTCACTAATAGACACACATGGATATGGCGCATACAATTGAGCCCACATACACTGATATTCATTTATCTCCTTGAAACACGCGCTCTCCAACCTCTAACCCATTATTTGATCAAACATCCTAAACACCCAATAGTGTTACGGGTTTAAAATAACATAAATCCCTGCAGCCCACCCACATATTGAGGCTTTCTAATGGGGGTTTGTTGTGTCAGCCCACCCTCCAAGTCTCTTTCAGCCCTGTGAACTCCTATCTTCGCAGCTCACCTGCCACTACGTCTGCACTTAAATGGTCAAAATTTCAAAATCAGGATCAAAATGATCAGAATTTGCCTCCAGCCCCTCCTCCAGATGTGATGCAGCAGAGACTGGGAGGAGCAGGAAGAAGGGGAGGACCTTACAGAGTTGTGAGGGCGGAGTCAGTTGTCAATTTTGGTGAAAAAATAAATAAATAAAAGAGGACCACAGTGTAGATCAGCTTCACCAGAGGCCCAGCAGCCAAAGCCCATTTTGCCTTGAAGGGGATTAATAATGAATTAAGGCGCTCCCCCACCCCCCACCCCCACTTCTAAAACGATATTCATGCATGCTAATGCATCCATTATTTATAGTGTGCATGGAGGCTGGCTAGTCATGGCCACATGCAAGTGGGAGGGATGTGAAGATGAAATGACGAGGTGGGGGTCTGCCCCCCTCCCGCGTGAAGCTCTCGGGCTCTGGAAGCAACATCCGCCCATTGTGGCTGGGCTGGAGCTGGAGCTGGATGGGGATGGAAATGGGTGTGGGTTTTGGAAACATAGGGGGGAGGTGGGGGATGCCAGACAGGCAGCTCGCGCACAGAGAGAGGGCCGCCAAGTGTTGTGGGGGGAGGGGTGGATTAAACAAATAAATACATGATAAGAAATAATCATGCCAGAGAGGATGGGTGCGATGGAGACAAAGAGGCTAAGAGGGATGAAAGCGGGGGGTGTTAGTTAAGTCAGACAGGATTTACTGTCTGAACTGACCCGTTCTTGACCAAAAACCCAGATGCAAGACAACTTTGTTGGATGTTCTTTTGGTTTAACCGACGCATTCGACGGCTCAAACTGATAATATTCATTTGTTTTTAATCAAATCCAACTTAATTCATCACAAAGTTTTTCCAGTTTTAATCCCACGCCCAGCAGATGATACAAGTTTTGCTGATTTAATAAAGTTTCACAAAAGGTTGATGCAATATAAGCGAAAAACGAAAGGTGAGATTGTGAAATACGGTGCGAAACCAAGGAAGAGAAACAAAAGGCTGAGCGTGCACAGCATGTCAGATATGCGGCGATGCTGCGCAGACAGGAGCGAGGTGAGCAGAGTGATAAGATAAAGCAAAAAGCACAAGGCAGATGAGCTTTCTACCCCACTGATCCCGCGTATTAGCATAGATACAGAGTCACAGGCATGGCAGGGAACTGGTGTTCAGGAGGTGACATCAAGACCACGGACTCATCTCCATAGATATCACCGGGGCCATGCAGGTAAATCGTACATCACGCTTATCTAAGCTGCGTCTGGAGTGCATTACATTATGCTAACAAGCTGCCACCCTAAACTTCAGTAATCCTTGTCGGTGATTAATTCTTAATACCGTTTCGCCTGTCCCCAAAATGAGACTGTAAAGAGCTGCTTAATTTTTTTTTCTGCCACAGTGATTGCTGAGAGTAGAAAAGTTGCTCAGTGGCTTCTTGAATGGGAAAAGTATAGTAACTTTAAAATTATTGGACTGATGTAGGGTGCATCAATTGCAGTTTTCTAGCCGATCACTGATCTTTCAAAAGTCTGACCTGCCAATTCCAATTTTGACTTACACTGATCTGACTTTGTCTTATATGAATTGCAAATTATGATCTTTTGCTCTTTTTCTTTAATTGCAAACTCAAATGGACTACATGCCTGCTCCGTTTGTTGTTGGTAACATGTTCAGATGAGGTTTGGTGGGTGGGTCTGTCAGTGGTTGATTTTAGGACCTTTGCAGATGTACATAAGATCGGTGGATAATGTCGGCTTCGGCTGATCAAAATTAAAGAATTTGGGGCCGATAGATTGATTATTGGTGCACCTTTATGTTGATGCATTTAGCATTGCTTCCTGCTTTCTGTTATAGATCAAGAGGTTATCAATCTCATCTGTGTCCACCGCTTTCAAAAAGTGGTCAAAATAAAAATATTTATGTGGCAGAAATCTTCCAATAAAAATAAAATTTTACAAGATAAATGAAAAAAGGCAATCATAAATGAGCCGTATGTTTCTGAAACAATGTAGGTAAAGACCAGACATCTATTAAAGGCTTACATGCAACATGTTTTCTCAACAAGTAGCACCAGAGGCGAGACCTCCCAGAAGGGACAATCAGCATTGTGCAAACATTGCAACCTTTGTTCCCCCAACAAACACAAGGTGAGGCACTTAGTAGCGAAACCTCAACCCCACAAAAATCCATAAACGTTGGAATGATGTCAAAACAACAGTATGAGGTTTGACGGTTTTAATTTTCCACTGCTCAAAGTGAAATTGGCTCCCGCAACATTTCCTGCACCCCTGGGGATTTTTTATAACAAATACAACAGCAGTTTAATTATACATGTGGGCACCGTCATAAAAGCAGAACCATTAACCAGCATCTTGTTAAAACAGAGRACCTGCCTTGAAAGTGCAAGAGTCGTGTTTTTTTTTTTTAATTGTTTCACTCGGTGTCCAACTGTCATGGCAGATTGGCACCAATTAGTCAAAATATGCAGGAATGAACGGGGCAGCAAATACATGGCAGGCTCAGTCTGAATAAACAAACTAATGACCGCTGGCCACTAAAAGTAACTTTGATCGCCGATGCACCATTTATGATAAAAGCAAACTATTCAAATAATCCAACTACAGAGACTTTTGCTGACTTTTTCTTCATTATTCAGCTGCAAGGACGCAAGACGCAAACTGGCTTCTGATGTTTCCGACCCAGCTCCGCACGTCCGAAAAAGAAAGCTTCAGAGACTCCAAATAAGAGTGAACTTCCAACCTTTTGCTGAAAAAATAAAAAAAATGCTTTGGTTAAATTTCAAAGGCTTCCTGGTTTTACTTTACTGGCCAAACATCCCCCAGCTGTACACAAAGTGGCCACTCTGAGTGAGACCCCGTGAAGGTGTAGGGTGATCAGACACCCCTTGACGTAACCAAACATCCCAGTTAAAAGCAATTTGAACTGAGGGGATGCCATTGATGTTACTGCTTGCTTAAAGCAGGTCAGTCTTTACTCGTGGCACGTGTGATATTATAGAATGTAATCTCATATTTGTGAGCTGCAATTCAAGTCTTTTGGGTTATAAAACAAAACATGCACTTCTGCGGGCTGTCCCATCAAGAATTATTCACTCTTATGTTAAAGAAAATCTATAAACTCTTTTGAAGCAGGAATTTGTGGAATCTTTATGAACAAATAACATTTCATCTTGATTGATGGRTTTATGACTCGTCTGAGCAGGTTAAAGAGGATTACTGCCTGTTTAAAACAACTTTAATCTCAAATATTTAATTGAGGTTGATGCAAATAAATCCTGTTTTATAAACCTTTACAGTGAAATAATACAACAGCCCTGTTGGATATGCCCCAGGCTGTAACAGAAGTGCTACAACTAGCTGCCGCTGCTACTATTTGTTTTCCCAAACAACCAATAAATTCTATGTAAATGAGAGTAAAATGCAAAATTGATGGTGATGTAAAAGTTTGTAAAATAGTGTTTGCTTAAACTGCTGATTTTCTTTAGAATAGCATTGTTTTAGAACAGCACCAATTCATTTTGCTCTCAGTTAGCCTAGCCACGTTAGCTTGTTAGTAGTCAGATTTAAATAATTTCTTCAAACTGAGGCCCACTTTACACAATGCTGTTTTTAAGTGAAATCAGAACAGTTCTGTTGTGWTTCAACCATTTGTCTACAGGAAAACACAATTTATCTGAAAGTGCAATGTTCGCACGTGCACATTATGGTTGCCAGTCTTTGGTCAGTACGTTTCGGTGTACCGAGAGATGCTCACGAGACAAAAACTCACCTTTTTTTTAAACACCAAAAGGTATGATATTTGTGACACCTCAGAGTTGCTCCCACATTAATTGTGAGTTGTTCTCATCTTATAAACTTCCACACCTTCATTTTTGCCAACATTTTTTATTCACTCGAACAAGATTGAGCAGTTACTATGTTAATGAGTGTTTTAAATCTCAGAAAGTACTTTGTGATTTAAATCTTAGGCGCTTTTATTGTGATGCCAATAAAATTTGTATAATTTGTGAGCTTTTTTTTATTATTAAAAAGTTATGTTTGTCCTGTCAGCATATGTCAGGGACTCACATTTTTCTGAATCTTTTTAAATTTATAATTAGATCCAACATTCAGCAGCAGCCGAACCTTATCATTGGTCTAAATGAATGTTAGTTTGTTTGATGTTCTGGATGTAACTGTTCTTACGCTCACGTCTGAAGTGTTGTAAAACAAAAATCACAGCACCAGATGTTGATGGTGTAGAAACTGCAGCAGGTTCAACTTTGTTTGCTGCCTCATCAAAACAGAGATTATTATTGCAGCCAGAGTTGTAAAGTAACTAAGTACAAATACTTTGTTACTGTACTTAAGTATAATTTTTGGGTATCTGTACTTTACTTGAGTAATTATTTTTCAGCCTACTTTTTACTTCTACTTCTTACATTTTCACACAATTATCTGTACTTTCTACTCCTTACATTTTTTAAAAAGGCAAGAAGTATAAAGTCGTTATTTAATTTCATTTTTGCTTGTTTTCATTCCAGCTTGTTATTGTAATAAATAAATACTATCCGTATAAATAGAGCCTCCTAGATAGAGTTGATTTAATTTTGGTTGAATGAGAAGTATAAATATATAAAACTCTGATACTGTATTAGTTTGTACACAAACAAATCGTTACACTCCAGCAGGACATAATCATTAAAATAAAAGGACTGTACTTAAAAAGTATTTGKRTTTCATGAATTATATTATTGCATTTGGCCGCAGCCCTCAGATAGATTTTTATTTTGGGGGAAAGGTTTGGTCACCCTTGATATATAAACTGAAACAGCTAGTGCATCCTAAATTTAACATAAATTAATTATTTTAATACAACAGTCATTTCTACAGTTTTTTGGGAGGTCACCTCCTAATAAATGTCATTATATAAAATCTAACTGCTCATTTTAAATCAATACTTTTACTTTTAATACTTAAGTACAAAATATAACAGATACTTTAAGACTTTTACTCAAGTACTATTCCTAAAGGAGACTTTAACTTTTACCAAAGTAATTTTTTGGTAAGCTACTTTACTTTTACTCAAGTATTACTTTGTGGTACTTTATACAATACTGATTGTAGCATTACTGTGTGAAAGTGCAACGTTTTTTACAATCAACATCAGAAAATCTTTTAACGTTTCCAGGTGATTGTTCACGTGAAAGTTGGGCCTGAGGCCATTCAAGGAGCAGATAGCACATTAATTGTTTATATCTCCTTTGAATAAGCCTCATTCAAAGATTAAAACAATCACCTGTAGCGCAAATCAGCAAAGAAATGACCCTCAAAATCTATTATTTTTTTATTTTGCGTCTATTGTTTGAAAAGCTGCCTTTAAAAGAATTGTTTAAAAGACAAGAGCTCTCTGCCTTGGAATGAGCTAACTTCATTATCATAGCAACTGGCAGTGCTTTTTAACATGTCAATGGTGCTTGTCCCGCATGCATAATTTTGCTGTGTTATTGTGGTGGTCTCTGTGTTTCSTAAATGACAAAAAGCCAAACCTCAGGCATGGGGGCTATTGTCATTGGTGCATCAATCTGGATCAAGGCCATTAGAGGATATTTGCACTTCCTCCGYGGCTCCTGGCTCTTTTTGACATGCAACAGAAGGAACAGGCTTCACCCACCAGCGCAGGGGCCAATTGAGGTGTAGATTGACCAGAGGGACAGTGAAGAAGGGCGACCAGCAGGGCAGAACTCCTGTCAAAACCAGTGATGGACACCCATGCAGCAGCTGCTGGTTGGCCTATACGGTTTCTGAGCTCCTGTGGCACGAGGAGGCAGGGGCCCTGGTTTCATTCTTTTGTCTCAGAGGAGGTTGGAGGGTGTATCAGAATGTCAGCAGCTCTTAACTCTAGCACACTTCTGGTGTCAACTACCTACTTTGCACAACTGCTCCTTGCTTGTTCTGACATGTATCAACAGGGATAAAAAGCTATTCAGCGGTAACTTTATTTTGTATGTAGTGTAAATAGACACTTCTCATTTTTGTGTCATCAAGCACATAAACAGTCCTTCACGACATTTGCAAAATCTGAATTGAGAAAAGGTGATCTAGGTTTATAAATAAATCCCTTTCTCAGAAGTGAAATGTGGTTAAGATCAAGTATTTTCAGGATTAAGTTTATGTGTACTTGTAAAGGTGCGTGTGCGTCCAAGTGGGAGAATGGTGAAAGCCCAGCCATACTTTTTACACTACAAAAACAGCTCTAATATTTCTATCAAATAAAACCAATTCCTTTGCAATACATAAACACTTAAGCTGTCAATCCACATCTCCTCACATGTAACTTATACCGCCCGCCGCTGCGTGCACAGCCTCTCTGAGCTGTGTTGGAATGCTGACAGCACCGAGATATGAATCTTGATTTGATTAGGAGTCGGAGTTAGGGTCTGAGCACTGGAGCCAATATCGGTTCAGGCGGGTGGGCAAGGCCACTGTTGCAAAAGGAGGTGAGGTGTAGAGGAAGGGGCAAAGGGTGATGGTGAGGTGGGGCGGGGGTGCGGGGGGGAGGCTGGAGGTTACCTGCGGCCCTGTCTCCAACTGGGAGTAATTTGGAACAGACTGCTCCCAATGTGTTCATTAGGTTATGATTGGGCTGAACACAGGTGGGGAGGGCCTGCCCGGCCCGATGCTGAATAGTCCTGATTGTGCCCAGCATAAAACGCCATCTGTTTCAATGAGGCAGAGCAGGAGAAGCAGGAGGAAGAAGGAGGCTGCTGCCAGTGAAAAGTCGTGTTTTATGATTTGTGGACACTTTTGCATACTAACAAGGCAAAATCTGAAGGAATAAATGTACTTTATGGCAATATAGTCTTCATTCAACAAGCAGATTAAAAAAAATGTTTATTTAGGCAATAAAAAACACTACTGTAAATAATATGAAAATTACCCAACGTTATGCAAATAGATCTCTGCATAATTTCACCAGAGGTCAAAAAGCGACACCTCGCTATTGACCTCCCTTCTTCATGTTGCTCATAACACTTATCAAACAAGATCAAGTAACATCATCAGGTTTAATACCCTCCCAACATCTACCACCTTTGGACGTAATGCTTTTCGCTTTGCAGCAGCACACAACTGGAACACACTCCAAAATACCCTTAAACTTACATCTCTGATCCCAATCTCCATATTTAAGCAGAACATCCAAAACACTATCACTGACGCCTGTTCCTGTTGACTATTTCAAACACACTTTTGAGCATTTTATTTTTTTCTTTTTCTACTTTCTACATTTATTTCTTTTAATGTAAATGTTTGTGTTATGCTCAATTTTGTATCCATTGTAGGTTTTTATTCATTCATGCAGCCTCTTGGACAGGTCATGTTTGTAAATGAGAAGTGGTTCTCAAACAGTTTACCTGGATAAAAAAGGTTAAATAAATTAAATAAATAAATAAAATAATATAGTAATTAATGTAATAATAAAATTATCTTTTTTAGTTTAAATGATTGACACAACTTGAGTTGTAAGTTGCAGAAACAGCAGCAGAGTTTATTTACAGGCTGCCTCAAAGCTAATGTTTCCTGGTTAATCCTCTGCTCATACTAGCAGATGTACAAAATGTTAATCTAGGTGCTTACATGCACATTTACTCTGCTGTAGACACAACATTGCCCCCCCAAAAAATTTAAAAATCACATTCACGGGTTTCCTGTGGGTTAAAAAACGGATAAAACAAAAAATATCTTTTTACTGAGTCAAAGTGTTGGTTTCTATCCCCCCCACCCTTTCCACAAGGCCCTGGGAA